TTTGGCTCTCATGGACTTAAAAATTTTTTTTCCAGCTTTAACCTGAACTTAACACGCTAGCAATTAATGGTCCCTTCCACAGTCAGCCTCTCATTTTCACAGTCAGCCCTGGCCTCATTTTAGCTAGTGACACTGAATTTCTCCAGCATGTGTTCCTATACACATAGTCAGGTTGATCTCTGTGTCTTCCATCTGAAGAAGTCCCTGTGTTAGAGTTGTCTTTTGTGTTATTGAAAAGTATATGCTATAAAGAAGTCATTCTATCATGCAATATCTAGCTTCATTTCTATTGCCAAGGTCCTATTTTCCAACTACCGTACCTTTCTTTTAGTGTACAACTTTTATTGCAATTGCCACTAATTATCAATGCATGTTGATTATATGATTGATCAGTTTAAGACTGAAGATATTGGTAAACTTCTTCAATTTCTGCATCACTAGCATTAGTTTTTGGTGCCTCAATTTGAATCATAATTATATTGGCTGAATTTCCTTGTGTGTCGATGGATTATTATCCTGTCATAGACAGCATTGTACTTCAAGACATATCTCACAATGTCCTTTTTTGATGATGAATATAACCCCATTCCTCTTGAAATCTTGAATCTGTCATTTCTGGCCTAGTATAACATATATCTGGTTCAATTTCAGCTCATCGACACCTGTGATATCAATCTTTATGCATACCATTTTATTTTTGATGACTTTCAATACTCCTGTGTTCTTACTTTGTATATTCTAAGTTCCAATTATTACATGTTTTCAGATATTATCATTTTTGTCTAATGCCTTATAAACAAATGAGTCTTGAAGGCTTTATCCTTGTCATTATGGTTGACTGCTTTGAGAAGGCAATTCTTCGTCAGTCCTACTTTGAGTGCCTTTGACTTAAGGGGCTCATCTTCTGGTACTCTTGCTGACGATGTTCTGCAAGTATTCATGAGGTTTTCATTGTCTGACCAAGTTCTGCTGTCTATAAGTTACTAATTCCTGCGAAGGGGTCTGCCTATTTCTTCTTCGTAAGCTGTTCTGAGCTCTGCTGAGACTTGTTCACTTTGGGTGACCATACTGATATTCATTCACCACCAGTGGCGTGCTTCCAGCGTCACAGCATCACACAAACCACCACAGTATGACATCCTGGTAGACAAGTGGTGGATGTCATCTATAGCCTTTTGCAAATGATGCTTAGAATTTAAGCTCTAACATTTTAAAGGTTTTGAAGAGTTGCTGGTTTGACTTTAGCTATTCAGAGCTACTGCATTTTTATTAAAAGAGAACAGTAAGAACATTGATAAATAAATATTATAATTTTTTATAAGTCTTGAATTAGGTTGTGTTGGTTTCCAACTTTATTTGGCATTGTTAATATTGTGATGGCTGCTCTGGATCATTGCCTTTCCATATGAATTTTAGAATCAAACAGTATCAGCAAAATAACATGCTGGATTTGGAATGGTATTGTGTTGCATCTGTAAATGAAATTGTGAAGAACTGAGTCTTCCTTTCTAAGGACATGGAATCTCTCTATTTACTTATCTCTTTGATTTCTTTTATCAGAGTTTTGTAGCTTTTCATCTAGAGATATTGTACATATTTTGTTAGATTTTTACCTAATTATTTCCTTTCTTCCTTCGTTTTGGGTGCTAATATAAATGGTGTTTTGTTTTTAATTTCAGATTCTAGTTGTTCACTGCCAGTGTAGGAAAAAGCAATTGTATATTAACCTTGTACCATTA